CAACATTGAAAGAATTAACAAAATTACAAATTTTGCAGAGGTAAGAAATTAAATATAAATATACATATATATAATCGGGTTTACTAAAATGCACCTATGGTGTTTAACACCATAGATCTCTATTTCTCAAAAACGTACTAGGTAAACTGGATCGGGTATTCTAAGTAAAAATGTTCAGAACCCCCAAAAACCTCACAAAAACTAAAATTAGAACCTTATATCTAATATGTATCATAATATATAAAAAAAAAAAAAATCATAACCCTAAATTTTATTAAAGACAATTATATATGGTGCTAAACACCATAGGTGCATTTTATAATAATTGAATAATAATGTACTGTTAATATGTATAAATTTATAACAAAAATTTTTATAAAACTATACTATAATTTCAATTTATAGTTTTGTATTTCTTTTTTTTTTAAAAAAAAGAAAGATTTATTTTTTATAACAATTTTTTTTGCAAATAAAATTATTTAACAATTACCATTTGATATATTAAATTATTAAGCTGAAGATTGTTTTGAAGTGCTTGCTGCACCCAGAGATATTTTCAAATTCATCACATCGACTGTCACTTAAAAAAAAAAATATCTGATTAATAAAAAATTCTTGATTAAATAATCACACAACAAATGATTAAATAGTTGCATACATTGTAAATTTCTTTGTTTTGTACTAATCGTTTCCTGTAATTTATCTAAATTCTTTTTGACAAAATCGACTTTATCCGAATAAAATTTTACGGCGTCATCTGAAGTCTTAAAATAAAATTAAAAAGCTAAAATTCGCCTAAATTATATCACGCTAATAGATCAAACCTTTTCAGCATAATATCCAGTTCCAACATCTACTATCACTTTATCCGTCTCAAGCAGTTCACCTGGAACATAGAGGTATATTATTTGTTAAGGAAAACTAAATAAATATGATACCCTTTTAAGATATTACACTGCCTAATTTTGAAGGATATTGATCCTGTCAATGGTACAAGAATTTCCGATCCTATCGAATTAAATAAACATCACGTTGTAGTAGTTGAAAAAACATCGAATTGATGAAAAAAAAACAATAATAATAAAATTGTACCCGGTGTTCTTGCTTTGATATTATGTAAACTATCTATACAGTCCTGAAAACGTGCCTGTGCTTGCTTCAATTTTCCAAAGGAAGCAGTTAAATGGGACAATTCCTAATAATTATGAATATAAATCATTATAGCATATTGTTACAGAAAACGCGAAACATCGTTAAGAATTTTATAGAAATAAAGATTACAGACTTCATCCAGTTGTTTCTTAACCTCTGCTAACTGCGGAAGATCTAAATCGCTCAGTTCAATAGTTTGTTGCTTTGTGGACATTACTTCTTCTGGTTTTGTTGGTCGTCGAGGCGGTTGGTTTGGACGCCTCTTACCCATAATTTTTATATCGCGAGCTGGTTACACTGATGTAATACAACTTTATCCAAATTAAGTTTGCAAAATTATAAAAAATAATTGATAATCAACTTGATGTAGATTTTACCTTCTTTTTTTGATGATGATTCTTTTTTGACAAATATTACTCAATTATATCGATCATATAATGTTTGCAAGATTCTCCCGCTGTACAATAAACAGTGCTAAAGCATTGTTAGTCAATCGTTCCAATCGTGCATTTTCATTGACTTCTCAAATAAATCGAGCTCGTATTCCAGTTAAAGAAATAGATCCAACCATTATAATTCCTGAAGATCCTTATATTTTAGCAGAATGGGTAAGAAAATTTGGAGAAGCAAATCGATTAGATGATGCCATAAGCGTAGTTTGGAACGCAAAAAAAAGTGCGCAGTCTGAAGTTGTGTGGAATCATTTAATTATTGAATGCGTTAAAAACCGAAAATTTCAAATGGCATTTAGAATGTTTAATGAGGTAAAGTACACATATTTCGATTCAAATTATATTTCATAATTATTTAATGGAAAAAATTTTATTGATATATTTTTAATGATAGATGAAAAAACACGGATTCGTCCCAAACGAACAAAGTTTTACAATTTTATTAAATGGCCTTGCAGACCATCGCCCATTCGTAGATAACATATTGCAAGCACGTAGAATGATCGACAATATGCAAGATTTAACAAAAGCCAAACCAGTAGAATTAAATGTAATTCATGTGAATTGCCTTTTAAAGCTTTGTTCGCGACTTAACAATTTTGAATCGTTGCAAGAAAATTTCAACGATATGATGAGAATGGGTAATTGGGCTCCTAATAAAGAAACTTTTACCATTATTTTTAATGCTTGTGCAAGAAATGGTGAAAAAGGGTATCTTATGGCTATTCAGTTATGGAATCAATTAAATTCCTTAACTTCTAAACAAAAGAAACAACAATCACAAGTCAGAGAACCTGATGGATATGGAGCGGATTTTGCACCTGACTCTGGACATGAGATTGAAATGGATGATGAACTTGTGAGATCAATGCTTTTGGTATGCAACAAAACTAAGAATTATGACAAAGGATTTGAAATATTACAAAGTGTTTATGGATTTTCAATATCATCCGAATTGTCGAAAAAAAAGACATCATCGATATTATCGAATAAACATTTAATTTCACCAAAGTCTGTTGATATAATGTTAAATCTTTGCATAGGCGCACGTCAATACGAAAAAGGCATAATTTTATTCAATGAAACATTAAATCAATTTCCAGATATAACACTTGATATTCATAATTTTAACAAATTAATAATTTGTTATAACCAGTTAGGAAAATTTACGAAATCAATAGATACATTCCAACCAATTCGTGCTCGAGATTTGGAGCCAACATTAGAAACGTATGATTTGTTATTAACTGCATGTCGTATAACAGAAGATTGGGTAGCCGGAAAAGAATTTTTCGAATTAATAATAAAACAGAAAAAAGAGATTAGTTTAGATTCGCATTTATTAAATATGATATTAGAATTGTCCATGTTAAATCGCAAATCTGAGGGTTCTCCGGAAAAGGTTCGTTGGACATTAGAACAAATTGAATCTCTCGGGCCGCGTTATCCTGAAAAAATAAGAAATCTTTCAAAAATTAATAAGCCTAATGCTAGTAAATTTGGGAACGCATCTATGCCGTTATATAATATTTATGATATTAGATATTTAAAGAGGATTATTCTAGCTTACGAAATCGTACTGGATCCAAAATTTATCAATAAAATTGATGAAAAACAAAAATCACAATGGAAAGAAAATTTCGAATTTTATAAAACAGTTTTGGCTGAGCATGAAGGCCGTAGTCAAAAAAGTGATGAAAGCATTCCACCAGAACGACGGTATGATATGAGATCAGCATGGAGGTATATAGATCAATTTAAAGGTAAAAGGAGGATTGATAAAAAATATGCGAGAACATTTGATGATGATGTAAGATCAGATAAACAATTTGATTCTGATAATATAAACAAATTAAAAAATAAAAATTAATAATATATATACATATATATATATATATATTTAAATTTTAAATTTCATTATTTTTATTAACGTTTAAAAGATTTCTTTGTTATAGTCTGTTAAGAGATGAACATGACTAATATGGTAATAGATAGTTGTTACATATTGATTTGTTCTACGTTGATAATAATTGGATGTTGATATTACAGTATATAGCGAGACTTTAATTGACATAAGTTACTGTAACCCATTAGAAATAAATTCTAAAAAAAACTGACTACCTAGTTATGTTTGGTCCGAGCTAAGTTTGAACTTAGTCCGAACCAAGTTCAATCCTTAAAAATATCAATTCAATTCGAAATAGACTATACAACGCAGGATACCTTAAAAAAATAACTAGCGTACGTAGCTAGAATAATATATATCATAAAATTAAAAATTTGGCCGGTAAAAATTATTATAATTCTGGCCAAAATTACAAAAAATTTTTTTAAAACACTATTACGCAACATAACTCTAAAATTTGGCCAACATTTGTTGGTTTAAAGTGTCCCACACTGTAGTTATAGTTTACATTTAATCTTGGTATAGGTTGAGCTCACTTTGAACTACTCAACGCTAAACTCGTTATTAATCATACTGTATATACCGTTTTAAATTAAACTAATACAATTTAACAATTTATATAAATCCTTGAGCGATTGCGCGTCAAAAATAATAGGTAAAATATCTTTGACAGTTTAATAACAGTCTCCTCGCTATGGTTGCCATTAATTAGACGTTAAACTATCAACTGACTAAATATATTTTAATATCAGGTAATGCTAGTTAATATTAACGTTAATCCTTGAATTTCATTGATTGTACATAATATTATTTTGATATGCTATCGAAGGACAAAATTTCTTTGATTGTCTATTGTACTGTATAAATTTTCGACTCCCAAGTAGGGTGTCTGACATAGTGGCAAAGGCATGCCACTAGATACAGCATAAAAATTATATTTATAATATTCAAACCATATATATAGAATTATAAATAATATATAATATGGGCTGCCGTCAATAGAAATAAGGAAGATTGACATTTTAAAAAAATTAATGCCTTAACTTTCACATCTCATATCTCAATGAATTTTAAGGCTATCTTGATGATTTAATATTCAAAAGAAAGCTTAGATCATATGCTTTCTTTTGAATAATAAATTATTAAGACAGTCTCAAAATCCATCGAGATATTGGCTGTGAAAGTTAAGGTATTGATTTTTTTTAAAATGTCAATCTGCCTTATTTCTATTGACGGCAGCCCATATATTATAGCATGCCTTTTGGCATGCCATAGCACAAATTTTAACAAAAGTCATGCCCTGTGGCATGCCAGATTTTTTTTGGTGTGCCAGACACCCTACTCCCAAGTAACAAGTAATCAAACTTACTATATAAAATTCTGACTCGTAAGTAACAAGTAATCAAACTTACTATATACTAAGAAACTTTTTCAAAAAGGAGCTTGTAAGCCTGAAACAAATTTTGGCTTTATTTTTCTAACCGATCATAAAATTTACTAACAAACCCAAAGAATATAGGATATTTAGTTTCGGCTGTTAAGCTTACTCGTCCTGGCCGCCACGTAGAGGTATATCCTTTTTGGCCAGGTTTTTACGTGTATATAATCGAGTTTATTAAATTACATTAAGAAGCGTAAATAAAAAGAAATACATACTTCTTAAACTTCAAAACTTAGAGAAAACAAAATAAAAAAAAAAGACTTAAAAAGAAATGAATAAAAAAGGTTCTCTTGAAATCTTTTCAAACCCAAAGCGCGCCGAACAGCTGGATTCAAGCCGTAACCAACGTGCAGCACTCAAAGCTTTAGCGGAATCCAAACACTGGTTAATTGGACCACTCCACTCAAAGAAGACTCACGAAATAGAAATGCTAGAGATAATGATTTATATACATTGAATTATTAATATCATAAATCCACGATGTAGTAACTTTAGTTAGTAAGCGCTTTGTTATTTAATTAGATTCAAGCCGTAACTAACGTGCATTACTCAAACTTTAGCGGAATCAATGCACTAGCTAAACGGACCACTCAAAGCAAGCAAAGGAAAGAAAAGCAAAGTAGCTACGAAATGGTTAAATATATTGTGGTTTACAAACGCGTGAGAACTAGTTCGGAACATGTGAAATATGTGTTACACGAATGTACAAGGTTACGATTTTGATATTTATATTAAAAAATACATCAAACCGGGAAAAAAAATAAAAGCATGCAAAGCAATCAAAATAATCGCGTAACAAACAGAAAGTTATATACCGGGTATCTCTGCTAGAATTAGTCCTTATTATATAAAAAGATTATAACGATTACTAAATTTATAAACTAGCACAAAATTTGAAAAAGGTTGACTACCGATAGCAAGTCAATTTAATTTGATCACTAAATTTATTATTTATCAATTTAAAACTAAATCCCAAAATTTTTTTCACCCAACATTTTACACTCCGACAAGAAATTTTTTTTAATAGAGGATGGTTCGCTCTGTACAGTAATTTCAGTGGTTCTGTTTCGTTATACTTACATACATGGGCGAACTTATTACGAGAATACAGGGGTTTCCATCAATTGAATAAACAAGCATCTACAATAACGCTAATGATATCACGGAAACAATCAAACTGAGTTAGATCTATTTTTATTTCATAAATAGGGATTAAAATTCGAATTTGGTTAACCAATGCTATTTTAAAAGCTAGAAATAGCGAATAGAAACATTGATTTAAATGATTTAAATGGGGGTAAATAAATTATTTTCATCTACTGTTACTAATAAAGCAACGGTCTTACGTCTGTGCGCCTTTTTTCTCCTGTTTTCACATAAGTTTGGAAAGCTTGCTGCATTGTCACGTGCAGATCTTGGCTAGATTCATAGTTTCCCATTATGGGTATCATTACCGAATTTCCCAAGCTTTATATTGATCACAAACGCATTTCTACCTTAAACGGATTTAGTTAGATTTTTAGTTAAATTTAGTTATTGTTTATTGTTTATACATCCATCTATCGCTATCTCTATCAACATATAATAAAAGTTTAAATTGATGCTTTTTCTTTCACAGTACGTACGTACTTCTAACATCACATTTTTTATAATCACCTTACATAGGAATTTATATCACCAAAGAAACGTAAAATTTGGTCTAAAATAGTATGGAGTGATCAGGCTTCCTTGATAGGTCAAAGACGTGTGCATTCCTATTTTAGACCTCCTTAAAATAAAAGGGAAAACCTTTTTATATTAAATTTAATTTATAAAATTGTTACACAAGCAAATTTCTCTGATGTAAATGGTGCGACATTAGAAAATTTATAAACCACTTGTTTTACATGTATTAGATCGTTCATTGCAAAATTTTTGAGTTCTTTTTTTTTTAGGAGATATATATATTTTCAATAAACTTGAGAAAAAACAAAATGAACAAAATACAACAAGATGGAAAATTAAATTCAGAATCAACAATAAAATTTAATTCAAGTTTAGATTTTAAAATTTGTTCATGTAAGCAAAAAGTTTTAAAAGACGATTGGGAGGTATGTATTTAATTTTTTTACATTAATGAATATAAAAATTGGATAAATAGATTTACTCATTTAGTAATTTGGTTTTTTTTTTAAAAAAAAAATTTTGATTTACGTACGTACGTATAATTATAGGATCACCAAATAATATGCCCAAAAAGACGGTTGACATGTCCAGCTTTTGTATCATTTTTAAGTGCCCTTTCAAAATTTGAACAACCATACTGGAAAACATATGGAGAAAAATACGCAGAATATTCATTATCATTAGTTGAATCTAATTGTCCACCAACATTGAAAGAATTAACAAAATTACAAATTTTGCAGAGGTAAGAAATTAAATATAAATATACATATATATAATCGAAGAATAATTAGTATATAATTATATATATAGTAATTATATAATAATTAATAATTTATACGTAACTCATAATATTTTAGCATAGGTAATTTAGAAGAGCTTAAAACAAACCGAATTCCATCAGCTATAATTCATACACTTCGATGGGAATGTCCTACATTTTCGACGAAAGCAGAACTAAACAAGCATTTGGTTGGTGCATGTTTCTACTTTAAGGTTCAGTGTTTGTTTTCGCCAATCATGAGACCAGGTCTTTATAATGTGCATGCAACCAACTGTCATAATAATAATACGTGCCTAAAACTCGAGCTTTCCAGACAGGAATTTCATAAACATTCAGATAAAGCGGTAAGAATAATAATAATAATAAAATCAAATAAAAAATTTTATATAAAATTTAAATATAATATGAATTTAGTAATACATATAAAATTATATATATGTAAAATAATATAGGCATTAGATCCGATTTCACAACGATTACCTTCAACACCAAATATTTTTCCATATCATTGTTCATTATGCGATCATTGTTTTCTAAAATCAGATACTCACATATGTATGCCATCTCCACCAATTCCAGAATATGATATAATATGTCATGGTTGTAAATCAAAATTAGATCAACCGAAAAAAACAAATTACGAGTTAGAAAATAAATGTCAGGTTTGTTGTAATCAGGATAATAATAATCCAATAGTGATCGGTATGGTTGGAATGGTTAATTTTCATAATGGAAAGAATTATGGAATAGAAAATCAAAAAATGCAATGGAAGAATGTTAAACGGAACATCATTAAATCTTATGATAAAACTCATGAAACTAAGGCAAGTATTAATAATAATTTAATATGATATTTATTTAAAAAAATACAGTCATTAGCTTTTTTTTTTTTTTTTGTAATGAAAATATATTAAGATAGTTTAGGAAGATAATGTACTGTAATATATATAGTGATTAATTAAAATTAAAATTACTGTCCTATAAGGATATGTTTATGTGGTGGCTCAAGCTAAATTGACTGAAGCTGAAATTTAAATAAAGGTTTAAAAATTTTTTTTAGTTTTTAATATGATTTGATTTTCAAATTTCAGCTTAAGCTAATTCAACTTTGGCCCCCCACAATTTATATATCAATAATAAAACTAATTGTTTGAACTAAAAATGTCGTCATTCTACGTACGTACGTATCATTGTCTGGATGGTCAGCCAATCAAAATCGATCACCAGAATTAAGATTATCTGAATTTTTATATAACGTAACTTAGAATGAAATTTTCTTTTTTTGCAAAATTATTATACGTACGTACGTAATACGTAGTAAAACTTGAGTGACTTTAGGCAAATTTTTAATTCCGACCTGCCGATCACAAAATTGAGGATTTTCCTGTAATAGTTAAAAAAAAATATTTTGGAATAACACTGCAGAAACATGCTGAAACAGATTATTCACGTATTTATATACCGGTATAATACCGGTATAATACCTGAATTATGATAAAACTTTACCATTTAACGTCAACGTTAACTTTAAAAATTCATGAACAGAGTCATATTCTTGCCAAGCCACGTATTATATCGTCTAAGGTTTTTTAGTTTCTTGTTGAACATTAAAATGTTTCATTAGTTCATTCAATAATTCTCATTAAAATCATTAAAATGCTTTTCAATTTGATGAGAAAAACACGCATTCGACTACATTTTATGAATTTGAAGTTTTGTATATTTTACGTGTAGATAACATTCATAATATTTATTGGTTGAAAATAAAAATGTTAAGGATTGGCTACAATTTAAATTAAGGTACGCAAAAAAAATGATCACAAGATATCGTTTATTTATAATTTATAATTCTAATACAGTAATAATTAATATAATAATAATAAAGATACGTAATAATAATAATAGATAATATAATAAATGTTAATTCTACATATTAGACATATTAAGGGCATATGTATATCGGAATTATCCGATACGCAGGCATATAGTTATTAAAAGAATCATCTCTTTTTTGATTCACAATGGATTATGCTTGTAATCGATAATTATAAAAATTTCGAATATCAATTTTAAAAAGATTATTTAAAGAGTTTAACAATGCTTTTTATTGCATACAAGTTATTTAATTTTTTAGTCATGTTAAAATTTGATAGGTTTTTCATTTTTTTAATATAAAGTTTCCTCTAATGACGTTAATATTTGCATCACCTTAAATAATGTCAATGTAAACATCGGAAAATCGTTAGGGCCTAAAGTTGAGTTAATAAAAATAAAAAAAGTTGATTTACAAAATATTATGCTTGTAATCCCAATTCGGTCTCTCGTTCGTAACCACTTATTCATCAGTGTAAACCACTTACATGCGTTTAATATAGGTAATATTTCAATTTTCTTTGTATTCTTGTTTTGGTTGGATAATTCCTTGCAGAATATATTAGTTTATTGTATATCGCATGCATTACACATTTGCATACAATAAATTTTTGAGTTAAATGAGTTAAATGCGTTAGGATAAAACAATTTCCAATATAACCTTCCGCATTACATCATGTATCGTGTTTTAGATTACTTTACGCTTTCGCGGGCTTTTTAATTGTCTTTAAATCCTTTCATTCTTTTCATTCCTTTTTTCTTTTTTTTTTCTTTTCTTTTTTTTTTTTTTATCTCTTTGTTTGCTATTCCTTAGCAATTATTAACAAGCTCATCTAATGTTTAAACTTGGTTTAAAACTTTTAGATAAAAAAAGAGAGGTATGTTATTAATAATATATATATATATATATATATATATATATATATATATATATATATATATAATATATATTATTACTATAAATTTTTTAGATAAAAATCTATAAAGATAATCAAATCTTTAACTTATATTATATTTATATCATCTTTTAGAGTAAATCTAACTCTCCAGTCAAAACTGAGTTACCATCCGCCTTACCAGCATTCGAGTGGCAGGTCACTGGTGATTCTGGTTTAGGTGACCTTATAACAAAAGAAAAGGAAATCATCACACTTCCAGAAGTTGCCATATTTGGGACCACAAATGAACGTAAAATTGTTGCTAGGAGAGTTCCAACTGTAAATAATGGTCGTACTTCAAATGCTGAATCTAATAGATTAAGATTATTACAAATAATTGAAAATGAAGATGCTCGAAATAATTTTCAAGATTATTTAAAATCTCAATATTGTGAAGAAAATTTGGACTTTTATATGGATGTTGTACAATATCGTGACCTTTTTTCTTCATCTGGAGCTAATCTAAAAAATGATGATATTAGAGAAATAAGTTCAACAGCAAAATATATATGGAATTATTATTTAGATTCTGATACTTCATCAAAACCTTTAAATGTTCCACAGGATCTCGCAAATCAATGTAGACAAAAAATTGATTCAAAAAAGTTTACTGATGATATATTTGATAAACTTCAACAGCATTGTTTCGATCTTATGGTTCAAGATTCTCTTCCAAAATTCTTACGTAGATCTGTGATGCATGAAAATTTTTCATCTTCAAACTCTTCAATAACTTCTTCTTATCTTAAGCCATCTTCTTCAACTCAAAAACCACTTTTCGGTCCAAGAAGATCATTATCTTCTGGTTCTCTTAAATCAAGAATGGCTTCAACTTTGGCATCTATTAAAACTGCTGTTAGTGATGCGAATATATCCACTGGATTTCACTCCAACCCTATTATTACTACCACTACTACCACTACCACTACCACAACAGCTACTTCTACAAATAATTCCTCATGCAATAGGAATACTATGTCTGTACCTATACTTCCATCAAAGGATCGAACTATAATAACTCTGGAAAATAAATCAAATTCTAGTTTTAAAAATACTAAATTAGTTCATGAAAATAGGTTAAATTCGAGTTTTAATAATTCATTTGCAAAAGAAAATAGATCAAATTCGAGTTTTAATCATTCATTTGCAAAAGAAAATAGGTCAAATTCGAGTTTTAATAATTCATTTGCAAAAGAAAATAGGTCAAATTCGAGTTTAAATAAGTCATTTGCAAGAGAAAATAGGTCAAATTCGAGCTTTAATAGCTCATTTGGTCATGAAAATAAGTCAAATTCGAGTTTTAACATTATATCTACTACAAAGACTGATCCTGATCAGTCGGAAAGCAATAGATCTTCAACTGTATCAACTGATTCTACATCATCATCACCGTCAACAAATTCTTCTTTAAGTACAAATTCTCTCTCATCTCGAATTTCTTTATCAAACATCAAACGTCGCGTGCTCACGCGTCGTCGAAATTCAACAAGTTTGGCTTCAACTCATAAAACCATGGATATGCCAGGATCATATCCATGTACCCCCGTCAACTGTGATAACTGTGATGATTGTGATGAATTAGACCTCTTATCACGTGACAAAAAATTATGGCACAAACATAAACTTCGTCGTAATATGTCAACAGCTAATTTTCAATCTGACTCAAAATCAAAACCTTCAATTATTGTGGGTGGCCAGGTGTACGTTGCTGATAAAACTATTCCTCAAATTCCTACTGCAATAAAATAACATTTATATGATCATACATATATATATATTGGCAAAAGTGGATTACTTTACATTTTTCAAATCATAATATTTGACATATTTGCCAAAATAATTACATATAAAGGACTATATATATTGTAACAAAAATATTTTTTTTTTTAAAAACATAAATTTTCTAACATAAACATTTTTTTAAACATAAATTTTCTAAATACAACTTCTTTTTTTTGTCGAAGGCTTCACGGAGTTCTTTTTTCTCTATTGTACATTTTTTTTCCTTCTCATTATGTATAGTGAACACCGTTGTAGCAGAGAAATATTTATATGGAGTTTTTTTTTTAAAAAAAAAACAAAAAAAATAATATAATAATAATAATAAACTTGTATGTGAATACTTATTACTGCTGATTATATGTCTATTAATTCGACATAAATACGTATAAATATAACTTATATACTGTATAAATTGCTGTAAATTATATATCTACATATGTTATTAGAATAGTAAACACTGTATATGTTAATTTATATTATAATTTACCAGGCAGTCAAAAAGGGTTCAATATATATATATTATATAATAATTACAGTGTAGGATATCGTTATTTTACGTGTCTCTTTACGAAAATTTTATATTTGAAATGTGGTTATTGGTTTGTATATAGTAAAAAAAAAAGGCATACTGTACTAATAAAAGTGGATGAAATTGATATTTATACTGTATATATTAGGTTATACAGTATTTAAGATTGGATAACAAGATAAAATAAAATAAAATAAAATTAAAATTAGACAATTTGCCATGTAGATTTACCCAATTCTCGTGGATTGTCGAACCATCTTTTTATTTTTTTCATTAAATTTATTACCTTTGATAAACTTCTTCCCTTTTATCAATCGTTTTTTTTTTTTTGCCTGCTCCGGAAAGGGAGCATTTATTTTTTTATTACTGTACATAATCTCATCTGTTAATTATATTATCGTGCAATTTCTTAAATTTTTTTATATGCGCAGGGGAGATTTAGTTTTACGCGATTTTATCCAGGAAAATTCTACGCTCACGTGATACAAAATTCTTTGAAGTCTTGTTTATGCTGGTAGTTCTAGATTAGAGTTAGAATTAGAGGTTAGATAGTTACAGAATAGAATCATTCAAAGAAACTTTTCGTTAATGCAAATTTTTCAAGCCGGTGAATTTTCCTGATCGTGTAAATTGTGATTCACGTTCACGACAGGTTAATCACATATGTAAATATTTATTGGTCAATTTTGTTATTATACAAATTTCCAGAACAGTCAGTTCAGTTTAGAGAGAGGTGATTGTATATGCAATTTCTGTTTGTTATGCATTTGAGATCATAGTAAGCAAGTAATACAGATACTGCAATAATTTAGATATAGTATGTTAATTGGTTTGTTCAAACTTATTAATTTTTTTATTAATTTGTGTAATTTATCTTGAATGAAGCGGAGGACATTCTATTTAAAGTAAAAGAAATGTTTGTTTGTCCAGCCGCATAATGTGATTATAAAACTACCCCAAGATCGCCAAGGCAAAAAACGGGCACGTGACCAAAATATGACTGATAACAAGATATGATACAGGAAATCCATTGAGATATACTGATAGCTTGACTTGTTGAAAAACAAATCAAACGGATTAATGCCAATGGAATTAGTTGGCTTCAATTGGTTCCTTTCAGAAAATCATTCTCAATGGAGCAATGTCAATGGAGTTGTTCTCCATTCGTTCCAATGGATAAATGTGTCAACCCTGGATACAGTATAATTATATGTTTAATGTATACAATATTAAATAACTGTAATTTATTAATTTACCTAACATTGCCTATTGTTTTTATTTTTTGTGGACGAAAATCTAGAACTTCTTACATCTTTCATGTCAACGTTTTAGATGATCAACTTTGTTACTAGGCATTATTTCGAAATGGTTTCTCCTCTTTTTTATTCCTTAACGGGATGCCCTTAGGCACATTTATTATATCCTTTTACGAATGCTTTTTAGCAAACTGCATTTAATAAACCATTAAGAATAAAGTAAAAAAAAAACCCCCATATCTATTATTTGCTTATTTATAAACCTTTATTTTCTTGATTTTCAATTATATCATACAGTACTTTCTTTTCATTGTTCAGTACATTTTTGCGACACTTGTTAAGTTAGAGGCTGGCAATCGAGTACAAGTATACAAGAGTTATTTTATTGTCCGGAGCGTAGCGGAGGACTTTTAATGTTTAGTCATGGTGATACAAAAGTTACGATCTTGATACATCAATAGTTACATTTTTGATTCACTTCTAAGCTATTTATCAAAATCGTAACTTTGAAAATTCTTGTCTGTCCGCACGCGTGTTTAAATTTGTAATTTAGTACTACAAAAAATATGCATGCTTACGCGTTTGTGTTATATAATAATCGTCATGTGCTCCGGACACACAATGCTACGCATTAGCCTAGTTTAAGCTATTGCATCAAAAACAATTTTGAAAATTCATGTCTGTCCGCACGCGTGTTCAAATTTGTAATTTTAGTGTAGCAAAAATATGCACATTCACGCGTTTGCGCAATGAGATGACCATCATATGATATGATACGCTCTGGACTCATAATGCTATGCATTTTCCTAGTAATAAGTAAAAATTTATTTAATAACTATGTAGCAATGAAGATCTAATAGCATATAATATCTATTGAAAAATTTTTCAACTTATCATTATTAACGTTAATAACAATAGCAACTTCTTGCGGCATTGAATTTCAAGAAGAATACGAAAAATCCGAATCTCTATCGATAGTTAAGTTGGCGTCTAATCTATTTCACCAAATTTCATCACACTCAACAAATATTCGGTAAGAAAATATCGATCAGTCTGAAAGAATGATTAACTGCAAGAGCAATAATTTATCGAAGAACGTCACAGAAACAAACCAAATGATTAAAAGAAATAAACTATTATACTTATATTATTCATGAATTAGATATGCGTTGTAAATTGCATTAATTATTGCTTTATATTATCGTTATAATTGAAAAATAAAGTCTTAGCGTTATTAATAAAAGAAAAAAATACGAAGACATTTTCCGGACCTTCATCCGGCCTTCATCCGAACCCAACCTGGTACACATACCGGCAGTGTTTCCCATTGGAAGGCTGGAAGGTCACTAGACTTCCAAATCGTTCCAGCCAACCAATGGTTCTAGTGAGCAAGTCTGACTGGAAGATTTTTTCATTGGAAGATTTCTATATTTATAAACCGATCATATCGATTTTGGTACCATTAGATTCGTCTCATTGAGTCTATCCAAATTGGATCACATAACAGATAATCACAAGATATCACGTTTCAGAACTATTACGTATTAAAATTAACAAAAAAATCTTACAAATTTAAAAAACAGGTTTTTTGTGGATATCTCAGATCTTATAATAAATTTTGATATCGTTAGATTCACTCAGTGAGATCAATCTAATACAGTAATATAAAAATATCTAAAATCCAATCATGAATCTCAAATTATTCGCAAAAAACCTGTTTTATAAATCTGTATAAAATCTTTTTTGTTGATTTTTAATAGTAGTTCCGAAACGTGGTATTTTGTGATCATGTGATCCAATTTGGATGATTTTGATACTATTCGAATCGTCTCACTGAGACGAATCTATTGATACCAAGATTGGATCACACGATCACAATATATCTTCAATTTTGTAACCTTATTTAGCCATTGGAAGCTACTAGACCTTCCATCCAGTGACAAAAATTTCACTAGAAGCTTCCAATGAGCAATAATAACTGGAACTTGCTGCGCCATCTGGAAGCACTCTAGCAGCCATCTAGTCCCAGTAATTGTCACTAGAACCTTCCAATGAGCATCACTGCATACCGGTATTTTGGGTGCCAAACATAGTACCCAGTTCTTCACACAGTATCCACGGGTACTATTCAATTTTAAAAATAGAGTCAGTGTTTGAAATAAAGCAATTTGATTGGATCCGCACATGCGCACACCGTGAAAAATAAACACTGAATGGAGTTCTTGAATAAGACCTCGGGTACTGTATACGCTGGCAACGATACTAGATCGCAATCAGCTCGAACATATGACTATAATTATCAAAACTGCAAGCGGGCGACTTCGTTGCGCGCCACCTAATATTGCTAGTTTCTGCATAAATGTGTGTTTTTTTTTTTTTTTAGACGAATAAGATCATTAAACAGATCAGAATACGAAGTGTTAATCGTTTAATTCAGCCAACTTATATAGTTGAATTTTTACAATTCTGAAACATTTGATGGTAAGTTTTTGATATCGACCTACATCGGTAATTTATCGATTCAGTCATCAGAAACTTTTTTAGCTGATCCAGAATTTATAATAGCTTCACAAGTTGAATAAAAATAAATTGAGCTCCAACCGGTATCACGTAATCCCGATATGACCCTGATTTGAACAGATATTTGGCGTAATAGGAGACCTTTAAGATACAAATCGGCATATAGGCGTTCAATACATATCGGAATGTCGATAGCTCTATTGGAAACTCGATAATTGCCTTATAGCTTTATCGATTTACTATCAACATTTCAATATGTATTGAACGCCATATGAACCCGATTTGCATCCCTATTTCCGCCAAATATCTATTTCAAATCAGGGTCATATCGGGATTGCGTGATACCGGTTGCCTTCATTCAACCCCGTGCTTGTAACAAAAAAAAAATGGCTTTTTTCATTATTATTACCCGAGTATCTGGTAAAATTACATGCATTAGGACAGTATTAGGAACGAAGTGAAATTTTTACAAAGTGTATGGTTATACTGCAAGATCTCGCATCTTTTAAATCTTACTGAATAATGCATGTGAAAAGCGAAAATGTGAATGCATATCAGGAACTCCACACATTGCACTTCACAGGACTTATTTAGTATAACGATATTTATCCGACAAACTCATATGATCATGAAAAACTTATTTTTTTCATGTGTTACGATGT